TTTAGAGAGGATACCATCTCTCAAATCATAGTAACCTTTATTGTCACTATTACTATTATTGTAAGTCTTAATGAGCAAGAACAAACAATGTGACATGGCTGTCTGTATATCATTTACCAATACACTTACAAAGTGTAAATCTTTTTTTTCTTTTCTCTCTCTCTCTCTTTTTTTTTTTGGTAGAGGTTTTTGCTATAGGGAACATGTGCTTGCCTGAAAGACAGAGAGAGACAGAGAGACAGAAAATGAGAAATCACCCCCTGGGGGGATGGCCATGCTGCAATCCCTTCTCTTCCATTCTCCTCTCAAGACCTTGGGCACGCACGCATGCGCGCCTGGCGTGAGTTTAAGCCACCAGGTCCGGGACTTGAACCGTGGTCAACTACATAGGAGTCCAGCTACATAGCCATTATGCCAACTGCTGGTCCCACAAAGTGTAAATCAATAGTTACAGCCCAGGCATGGTAGTAAGACATCAGGTGACCAGAGTTATGACTGACTACGTCACTTCCATCAGTTTCCTAATTTTCCCTTCCTCTGTTACATGTGCTTAATGTTTACTGTTCCTTCCTTAGAATAGTCTTATCTGATTTTGATGTTGAAGTGACTCAAAGAAAGGTGCCAAAATGTGTTACCATTTCACTGGGCAACAATTCTATTGACGTTTATTTAGTTTTTATTATGCCCAGAGCTGAAGAAAAGGAAATATCTCTTTAAGGGGCACAGAAGCTGTTTCTCCAGTTCATGACTTGAGTAGCTGCCATCTGTCTCACAAAGGTCTCAAATTGAGCCGTTCTCCCTGTTTCCTCTGAAGGCTGCCCCAGCTGTTAGTAAATCCTCTGAATACCCCGGCCCTCTGTCCATACCTGGTGGAGAGAAGGCATTCCCAGTGACTTGCTCCTTCAAGATATGGAAGAAAACGGATGTAGCCTTGGCAGGAGGGCACTGAGCACTTCTGCCATCCCAGGGTGCTTTGTGGATTTGGGGAGAATTGAGGCCAATTCTAAATTTAAAAACAGATGTATTTATTGAATAAACTGAAGGCCAATGAATTTAGTGCTGATACCGGGCAAAATGCTGGAGCAGACAACCAGAGGCATGGTTGACTAGCATGTAGAAAAGAAAGGGTGATCATAAGGGGTCCACATTGCTTCTCAAAGGGATGTCTTTGTGACAATTACACTGGATTCGTAAATAGGGTGAATGCTTTGCCACAGCACCACGAGTTCTGACATAATTAGACCTTTTCTAATAAAATCCTTAGAGTGAAACTGGAGCTAGCCGGTGGCATAGTGGTTAAGGTACTGGACTCCCACATGACTGACTGTGGTTCGAGTCTCAGATCTGGAGGCTTGAAAATCACACTGGGTGCATGTGCGTGCGTGTGTGTGCGTGTGTGTGTGAGTGTGTGTGTGTACACATGCCCCAAATCCCAAGAGAATGGAGGAGAAGGGATTGTGGCATTGCCATCCCCCCTGAGGGGTGATTTCTTGCTTTCTGTCTCTCTAGTGAGCACATGTGCCCTAAAGCAAAAATCTCTTTGGGAAGGGGAAAAAAGTTAAACTGACAAAAAGGCCCCTAGAGCTTGAAAGTACATCCTTGTGAAAGGTGACACTATTTGCTCAGGGTCACACAGCTAATTAGGGCCAGAGCTGGAGTCTGAGCTCATTACCTGAGCATGATGAGGTGGAATTGTCAGCAGATGAGGCAGTGTAATCCCAAGGCGCCTCCCGTGGCATGCCAAGCAGTGCTGTCCTTGGCCCTGTACTTTAACATTCTATCAACAACTTGGATAAAGCCAAAGATAACTGCTTATCAACTGTGCAAATAACACCAGACTGAGACGGAAGGCCAATATGTTGGAACTGCAGAATCAGGATCCAAAATTATCTCAACAGGAAGGAATGATTAGTTGAATCCAACAAGATAAAATTCAACTGGACTACATGTAAGGTCTTGCATTTAACTACAAAACTTGACTGCAAAAGTATAGGATGTGGTTGGAAAACATGTCCGAGCTCATCCATAATCAAAGAAATGTAACCATGAGATAATCATTTTCCCCTATCAGATTGGCAATGATTAAAAGAAAGAAAATTCCCCATGGTGGTGGCTAGGGTGTGAAGAAACGGGATCCCTTGTAAACTACTTGTGGATATATAAACAAAATCATCCATTTATAGGGTAATCTGAGAGTGAATGGCAAAAGCTATAAAATGCATTGTTTGTTCCAGCAGTTTCCTTTGTAGATGTATATCCAAAGACAAGAGTGCAAAGATTTATGTGTAGGATATTTATAAAAGCACTGTTAGCAAAAGATAAACCCCCGAACCACAGGGATAGAGAAGTGCTCAGTCTGGGAAGAGAATATGTGGAGGCTCAGAAAGGTACCATACAGTTATTGTCAAATATTTGACACTATAAAAGGATGAGGAGACAGGGTCTGTGAGGTTCCTGAAGGCCAAACCAGGACTGAGAAGAGATAGGTTTGGCTTAATATTATAAAGCAGATTCTCACAATGAATTCTGTCCAAAACTAGGATGGGCTGCCTTGGACATTCTCAATCCCTGGCAGATGGCCCTCTGTCAAGGGCGTGGAGGAGGACAGTTGGAGTGCTTCAGTCACTGGGATTAAATGCTTGTCTTGGTTCCTTCCCACACAGAGAGGCACCGGGTCTTTGCTGCATAAAACTATCAAAAGAGAGAGTCATCTCTCAAGTTGAATGTTGGTGGGAGCTCATACCAGATTCTACTTCCAGACATTGAACTCCTGGAATGAAATTCCAGAGATCTTCCTACTATCCAACATCACTCTTACCAAGAGCCTGCAGGAGCTCACCCTTCCTTCCATTTCTTATTCCTTCCCCCAACTGTTTCAGGAGTACCTGCTATGTGTCCGACCCCAGCAATCAATGTTTTAGTCCATTTTCTGTTGCTTAATAACTGAATATCTAAAGGTGATTTATAAGAGCAGAGTTATTTAGCTCATGGTTTTAGAGGTCCAAGGTCAAGGGTCACATTTGGTGAGGGTCTTCCTATTGGCAGGGACCCTGGGTGGTACAGGGCATCACATGGGGAGACAGTGCAAGAGTAGAACATGTTTCTGTCTGTTTCATTTCCTCCCCTTATAAACCCACCAGGATTCAGTCATAAGGGCCTCACCCTGATGACCTCAATCTTAATCACTTTTAACAGCATAGTCAGATTAGGTTTTTATTCTTTTCTTTTTTTTTTTTTTTAAATTCATGATAGAGAGTACATGCATGCACACAAGGGAGAGAGAAAAAGAAAGAAAGAGAGAGAGAGAGAGACCTGCAATTGACCTGGTCACATCACAATCCTTTTTCCTCCAAGTTCTACTCCATCAGCGTTCTGGGAACATGTGTACAAGCCTGTCAGTCAGCCATGTGGGATCTGGCTTCCTCTGCATAGTACTTAGCTTTTGCCACAGGGCTGGCCCAATTTGGGTTAAGTTTTCACTCCTGATTTTAATTCCATCTCAACAAAATTTTAATACATAAATTTTGAGGGAACACATTCAAACCATGATAGTAAACCTAGGGGATGCATTTAGCATCCTAAAGAAAAGAAATAAAAGATGAGTGTTCTTTCCTCCAAATCTCCCACCATATTTGGGCAGACAGACATATGGGGTATTTCACTGTTCCATTTAATCTTTTCTCTTTTGCGTTAGTATCATCTAAAGTTTTCTATTTCAATCAGCAACACATCTAAGATATATTATATCAGCACCCTCGAATATGGAGTATTCAGTATTTTTGGATGCTTATCCTTAGCATTGCCTTATATTTGATAATCACTTCAGTTATTAACCCTTCCATCCCTCTTTTTATTCAGTCCTCCCATCAAGCATGTCAAGTGGCCATTATGAAAAATATTCAGCAGGCACCTTTACATGACCCCTACTGTGAGTGTCACATAGTCCTCACCATCACTTCTCACTTTGGAGCTACCAGTATTGTCTCTCCAACTCACTTGTGGCCAGGGTAATCTTTTCATAAGATGACAGCCCTTGGTGGCCTCCAAGGCCCATGTGGATTGTTCCTCCTCCAATCCCCAGTGGATCTCCTACCTAGACCCCTCATTTTGAGCAAATAGATGTTCTTTAAAGCCATAAATCTGGATAAAATCATGAAGAGGTTAAGTGAAAGAGGGAGAGAGGGCCAGGAAGGATTGCTCTAAAGCTCAAAGAACAGAGGAGGGGCCAGGGATGGAGGAAGAAAACCAACTGTGTGAGGTCCCAACATCCACTGAAGAAAGCTTCATGGAGGAGAGGATGACCAGACTGTATCAAATGTCGCTGACTGAGCAGGTAAGAGGGCTGGATAGAGACTGAGAGTGTGCTTGGAGAGGGTTCAACAAGAGTGGGAGGAGAGAGCTGGACAACTACAGATACTCTTTCAAGGGGTTAATGAGGGAACAACAGATGGCATAGAGGTTATGTTGCTGGACTCGCACATGGCTGACCACGGTTGAAGCCGGGACCCAGTGGCTTGAAAATCACGCTGCGTGTGTGTGCTGCGTGGGGACCCAAGATCCCAGAGGACAATGGAAAAGGGATCGTGGCATCTCCATCCCCCTTAGGGGAGTGATTTCTCACTTTCCCTGTCTCACTCTCCTGCCAGCGCATGAGCTCTAAGGCAGAAATTTCTTAAAAACAAAAACAAAAACACCAAGGGGTTAATGAAATTCAGAAAAAGAGAAAAGGGAGTAGGTGCAGTCATGAAAAGATTTTCCTAGGAAGAGAGCAGTAACATTCTTAGGGAGAGAGCAATAACACATTCATATGCTAATGGAAAAGATCAATCGATTGGATGGAGAAAATGAAGCTTAAAAGGCTAGGTCATCCCCTAGCATTAGTCTTCTGGTCCAGACTTCGGTTATAATTTTAAGTCTAGCTCGGGTCTCCTGCCTTACACAAAATCCGATCTACGGTAGTTTGAAAGTTTACTTTAATTGGATCGTTTAATATTTAGTACCTTAAATGAAGAAGCCCCTCAAGTTGATTGCTCGGCTCTGACCCAGGCTCTGAGGATTCCTGGAATCACCCACAAGAGCAGCGGGATGAGTCCGGGTTGCCAGGGGAACTCGCAGGAAGAGGGCCCGAGCTGGGCCTCCAGTGAGCTTCCGAAACTTCACTAGCGTCAGCTGATCAGGTTTCCTCCAATCCCGCCTTGGGGGCGGGGCTCGACGCGCCGTCTCCCACAGCAACACCTTTGCCCGTCTGCGCTCAGTGCGCCGAGACTGCTGGAGGCGCTCTCGAATGATGTCACGCTACCGCGGCTCTTACGTGACGTGCTCTCTGCCTCAGAGAGGGACTGCGGAACGTCAGGTATGAAAAGCACGACCTCGCGCACTGCGCATGTGCTCTCTCTGGTTGGCTCACGTGCTGCTCTTACAAGCATCCTTGAGTGAGCGCGTTTGCTCCCTGGAGCTCTGCGCTAGGTGCGCCCTCCCTCGCTGCTGAGCATTTAATCTTAGCCAGAGAAATCATCCAAGATGCCACAGTTTGAGTCTGGCTTCCTCGGAGCCACCTTGTGGGCAGATATCCGAGAGGCAGACAGTTCACCTCATCCGTATTATCTGGAGCTTTCCTCGTGGCATCCATAATGCCACCTACCAGTCTGAAAATGTGAGTTGATTTCCCCAGTTGCAGTTGCCAGCAAGCTTCTAGCAGGCCATCTCCGGTCAAACTGAGGTCTCCAAAAGTGCTCTGGAAAGATAGTAAGTGTAGATTTGAATTTGAACGTCGCCCTGCTCCTTGCTGTGTGATCTTAGATGAGTTACAAACTCCCTCTGCACGTCGGTTTTGTGGTTCATAAAAATGGACATGATAATTACCTTAAAGGTAGTTGTTAGATCACACCTGAATGACCTTTAGGTAATTTCCCTGTCAGAAAGTATGGAGTTGGTCACAGCGACCTTTGGCCAGAATCCTCTGGCCAGAGCCTTCCCATAATGGCAGCCAACACTCAAAGATGGGCCAAAAAGGTCACAGTGGCAAGTAAGCTAACACAGTACCCACCATGCTTGTGACCCTACTCCTCCACGCCTCCCATATAAATACATCATGTCTCCTTGGTAAGGTGGCCTGAAGCACCTCCAGCTTCAGACCCCCAGGCGCTCTTTCAATAAACCCCTTTTTCTTTTGAGATGGCACCTCCTGAGTCTTACTCCAAACCCGAACAGTAATAAGAGCAGTAAACCTCATGCTATAATTTTGGGAACACTTTCCACTTCCTTGTATTTCTTCCCTTCAAAAGAATAAAAAACAAAAACACTAAGCAGCCTTTGTCACCTCTTACACAGAGGACACTGCCTGTAGAGGGAAAACAGTCTAACAAGCACATGGCCTTGGTGGTCATCCACAGAGTCTCCTCAAATTGTTTTAAAAACAGTTTTCCTCCAGACGCTGCCTTTTGTGGGTCTGTATGCTGAGGCCAAGGGATATTTAAGCAGAGTCCTCCCACTTCATCCCCCAAAGAACTCCTCTAAAACGATCTAAATCTAAAAGGCAAAGAACTCGTTCTTCAAGCTTGAGGGTGGCCTGTGAGATTGGGTCAGATCTTGGGTTACTGTCTGAACAGGGATGATGTGCTATAAGGGTCGGAGATCCTGTGTCTGGCTTCCTTGTCACCACAGGCCTGTGGTTTCCAACCCTGTCTGCATCTGAGTCCCACTAACCAACAGTGGAAGAGAAAATAGACATGCGCACGCACGCATGCACACACACACAGACTTGCACACCCTTCAGAGGAAGTGGAGCACCAGATGTTCTGGGTTTCCTGTTCTGTGCTTCCACAGCTGGTCGAGTCTGTGGTTGTGGTTTGTCTGTCTCGGGCTCATGTGAGAGACAAAAGCTGGGCTGACGGGAAAGTTCTCCTCCTGTTTCTCCCTCCCCAGCTCTGATCAGCTACACGGAAACCTGGCGGGTCAGAAACTTCCTGAAACACCCAGAGCCAGATTCTCCAAGGAAGAGCCAGAGTACTTCTGTCTTGGGTTGATGTTGGCCCTGATAAAACCTGGTATGGTAGAAATTGCTGCTGAGATACCATTAGCAAAGACTACCATCCCTGCTGAGCGGTCAAAGTGAGGCCTGATTGCTGCTGTCTCTACTCTAGTGCCTAGCATAGCGCAGTCATTCCAGAACACTTAACACACGAAGGAATGAAGGCAGAATGAGGCATTTATATTTGAGGGTGGGGTTTAGAAGCCCCATCTGGGCATCACTTCTCCTAAGTGACTCTGGATTCAAATAGCTGAGGGTTTGAAGCTGCACTGTGCTGCTGACTTGCATGTGATTTGGAACTAGTCACTCAATCTCTCTGGGCTTGGTTTCCCTATTTATAAAATGGAGACAATAAGGGCATGGTGGTTAAGGTGGCTGGATTCTCACATGGCTGACCACCGTTGGAGCCCTGGATCCAGTGGCTTGAAAATTACGCCGGGCGCGTGTGCATGTGTGCCCACAATCCCAAGAGGAGAATGAAGGAGAAGGGATTGGAACATGGCTGTCCTCCCTGGGGGATGATTTTGCACTTTCCCTCTCTTTATCTCTCTTCTCTCCAGAGAATGCACATGCCCTATGGTAAAAAATAAAAAACAAAAACAAAAACAAAACAAAACAAGAAACAGACAAACAAAAAAATGGAGAAGATAATATGTATGTCACAAAGTAGCAAAGGTCCATGTGATGCTATGCATGGATTTTCTCCGCAGAGCCTTTCCCGTAGTAACTGCTCAGTAGTCGCTAGGGTTCCTTTCCTCCTTGCAGCCCTGCAGTTTATGTATGGAGATATATTATAAAAACAAAACCAAATAAACGAACCAAAAAAGATAAAATGAGGGGTCCAAATGTTGCTCTTAGGACAACTGCCAGGTGGGACAGTACAGCAAGGGCTTTGTGTTGGTGCCCACTGTGGGGCAGTGCTGGAAGAAGGGGCTAAGCCATCCCAGGGTCTCTAGGTCTAGAAGGCAGCACCTAGCATCCTCCTCTGGGTGTGGATTAGGGTTACTGTTTTGCTGGTGAAAGGAAGGGCTGGCGGAGTGCTCCTTTATCCCTCAGCTCGGTAGTGGTCTTAGAGGATTATGGCTATGTTTAATCTGCATTAGGTCCTGAGCAACAGGGACCCCTGCTCAGAGCTCCATCCTAGCAGGACCCACTCCCACCCTCCTCCAACCACATCCCTCTTTATGAGATGAGGCGCTGCAGCTGAGGGTAACCATGACCAATTAAGTTGGTTTGAAGTCTAAAGTCTGACCAACTAAGTTCAAATGCTGATTCTAACACTTACCAGTGGTGCACCCTTGAGCAAGTTATTTCAGCTCTCTGTGTCTCTCTCTCTTCATTTATTAAATGGATAAAATAATAGCCATGTCATAGAGTAATTGTGAAGATTAAATGAGTTAATACATGTAAAGCACTTAGAACGGCCACCCACACATGGTACAGGATCAATCAGTGTTAACTGTTCCACTCATGAATGTGTTTGATTCTTACTGCAACTTACCTATAGGTAGATTCTGTGATTAGGTCCATTTTATGGATGAGAAAACTGAGACCCAGAGAAGTGAAGTGATGTTGCAGGGCGGCACAAGCGATAAATAGCAAGGTCATAACTTTACTCTAGATCTTTCTGACTCTTCCTGGTGTGTGAAGTTGCACCACCTCACTAGCTACATTTTTCTCTCCCTCTGATTTGTCCTCTACACTTTCCTCCAACTCCCACTCCCTAATGGCCTCTTCCTGTCATCCAGGATCTGGCTACCTGTGGTCTCCAGCTGGGCTTGCTTGTTCAGAACGAGGTGCTTACCCTTGACTACTGTTTCCTTAAAAAAAAACAAAAACAAAACAAAACAAAAACAAAACTACCTTGCAGAGTGACTTCTTACAAGCAGTTGTCCCTAGCTGAAAATAACAGAGAATAATTCAGTGAATTCATGAGAAGCCCTCGAGTGTTCTAGGAGTATATTTTAATCCATAGAAATTACTCTTTTGGGAGAATTTCAAGCAGAAAGAACAACTAGGCAGGGGTGGTGGTTTCTGTTCATTATTTTTGTTGGGGAGGTGATTTTTTTCCTGCACCCCTGAAGCCCCACCACTCTGGTGGTAGCTTCATCTCCCCCAGCTGTATAAAGCTGACCCAAGGGAAGATGCATCATGGTGCAAGGAGTCTAAAACTTAACATAACTATTGCTTGAGGGGCTTGAAAAACCCAGATTCTCAGGCCCAACTCAGTCAGTGTTTGTGAACTTCCTTTTGAGAAATGTTGGATTGTTTCCACATAGGTCAGCCTCACAGAGCATAGTGTTTTACCACCGTGCCACTGTCTGCTCCCCTCGATGTCCTGATCTTTAAAACAGGAGTTAAGCCTTTCTCATCTACCTCGAGATCATCAGTGAAAGTACTTCATGCTCTTCTGCCATTTTCATGCTATCACTCAACCATGTGCTTAGAGAAACCCAAAGGAGAGCACACACTCCTACCCAAGCCTCAGAGAAGTTCCTTAAATCTTTGGGGTCCCTGAATATAAGCTCATAAGCACTCTTTTGGGTGAAGGCTATTGTCCAGAGAGGAAGGAAGTATTGTTTTTTGTCTTGTGTATGGCAAAGCATACCAGAGTGTGCCAGGAGTACAATCAGTCAGGGTGTGCCAGGTAATGCTGCAGTAATAAACAACCCCTGGGCCTTAGGGGCTAAATGCAAACCAAAGCTGTTTTTTTGTTTGTTTGTTTGTTTGTTTTTTGGATTTTTGCCATAGGTATGTACACTTGTCAGAGAGAGAGAGAGAGAGAGAGAGAGAGAAAGTGAGAAATCACTCCTCAGGGGGAATAGCCATAATACAATTCCTTTTCAAAACTCTTTTCTCCTCTTGGGATTTTGGACACTTATGTACCCACACCTGGTATGTTGATTTTTTGTTGTTGTTTTGTTTTGGTGAGGTTTTTGCTATAGGGTAGGTGCGCTCACCAGAAAGAGAGAGAGAGAGAGAGAGACAGAAAGTGAGAAATCACCCCCTGGGGGGATGGCCACACTGCAATCCCTTTTCCTCCATTCTCCTCTCGGGATCTTGGTCATACATGCACACGCACCTGGTGTGAGTTTAAGCCACCAGGTCTGGGACTCGAACCGTGATCGACTACATGGAAGTCCAGCAACATAGCCATTACGCCAATTGCCGGTCCCAGTCTGGTATGTTTTTCAAGCCACCAGGTTTGGGACTCAACCATGTGGGATTCAGCACCTCAACGGCCACACCACCTGCTGGCTCACCAACGCTTAGTTTTTGCTCATGGTACAAGTCCTCGCAGATCAGCAGATAGTCTTGTTCCACAGACTCAATCAGAGATATGGGCCAACAGAAGTTCTACCACCTTGTGGCTACCCCATCTGGAAC